TACTTTCAAAATCCTCTAAATATAAATATACCCAAACTTAACCGAAAAGCATATTAATTTGAAATGGGTTGATAGAGTTAGGGACACTCTTTTTTGTCTGTTTTCTTTTTTTGGTAATAGTGTTACGCGGGCTACAAGGCAGTATGTTACATACATATTAAAAATAAGTTGTATTGCACTGAAATTTGAGTCGGGGGTTATTATTATTTGGGACATCCTGTATTTTGCTATTACTTATTAAATGCCTGTGATGTTTTCTAAAAGTATTCAGATTGTGTCAACCTTCAGATGTTAAGGTACAATCCGAAAGACTAAATGTAGATATTTATTATTCATTGATTGACTGATTAAAAATGTACATGTTATGATAAATTTTAAACGTTTGTTATTTAAAATAAATTTATTCAAGTAAAAGTTTGGGGTTAAATAAGAAATTAATTGGAAAGTGGAACCTAGGCATTGTAATAATTTTTTCCCCAATGGCAGGCACCTACCTATGCCGGCATTGGCCACTCCTAAGGCCTGATTTTTTCAATAAAATTTATCTTATTCACCAAAAAAGACTATTCTGAAATGAAAATACCAAAATAACAAATGACCCGAAACGTCTTCTTAATACACAGATTTCGATTGATTTTGACTCGCAGCCGAAAAAGTTTCCCGACGACTGGGTTAAGTTATCTGAATACGAGAAAGCACACCAGGACTATCCCTCTAAGACGATGGATACTTTCATAGAGGACTTTCAAAGGGAAACTCGCTCGTATTCATATTAGACATTTGAAAAACCCTGAGAAACAGCCATGCGGTCAACCCGTTCGCCTGGGATCAAACTCTCTGCATTCAGCAGTCCTAACCTAGTGGTGCGAACTACCTTTTAGAAAAACGTACTATGAAATAATCACCTAGACGCTTTACAACCAAAAGTAAAAAAATTAAAAATGCTATTAACAAAAGAATATAAGCAAAAACCGCGTGTTAATAGAAAATCAGTAATACTGTTAGCAAAAGAATATAAGCAAAACCATTTGTTAACATCAAGAAAGTTGTTGACAAAAGAATATAAGAAAAACCTGCTTCTTGCTAATCTAAGCAACAGTAAGTTGATTAGTTTACTAAGAAAATACTTAGGTACGCGTCCCTAAGAAAAGAATTACGCTTCCCATGAAACGATTATTTGGATCTTTTCATTTATATGTCAGCATGGGTCAAGCATTTTTCTCTAGAAAGATATATGCATCTCCTGATACTTATAAGCAAGAGAGTATGTTCAGCTCATTCTAAGTACGGCAACATTTTTCCTGAACAGAAGAATAATCTCTCTTCGCTTAGCTGCTCCAATAAACGAAGAATTAAAACAGAACGGCACATTTTAAAAATTTTTTATTGACTATGCTTAATTTGGAAATAAAAATATTGTTGTAAGAAATAATATCAACTCATTAAATTTAATGTGGCCGATTGGCGCATATATCTTTCTACAGAAAATTATTTCATGCATGGTCTCACTAATGGAACTATATTTTCTTTATAGAAAGGAGAAGCAGAAGAGTCCGAGAGTCGTTATCGAAAAATAGAAGATTTAATAACTACTTTTCTATGTAAGGAAAAATTTTAAGCATGCATCTACTAAATTTAATCGCTTGTTTACATCGTTCGGCGGATATATAATTATTTTCTATTTGATATCATAGTGCGAAAAGCCAAAATATGAATATCATGTCATTATGCAAACGGAAACAGCTTGTAGATGACTTGAGGTAATGAGGAGAAAATGATTCCATGTCCGATTCATAAAATGTATAAATACAACTGCTTCTTATCATTGTTATTCAGCGTTTTTCACGTTCTTGCTAAAAAATAACCAACGAATTACTAAGCGAGTTTGACGAAAGCCAAATCATGGTGTCTAGACGAATGATTCGGAGTATGTTAAGATACTTCAAGGTCAGTACTATGTGAAGACAATAGCTTGATATTTTTTAGTTTTACTACTCCTTCAGATGTAATCAAACTGTAGAATATCAAACCACCGTTGGTCTGCATGCTCATCGGGCTAGATGTGAGCAGAAGCTATTCTGTGTTAGACGGAACAACATAAAGGATATTGTTGGGCAAATTAAATGTTGCTGGTATAAAGTAATTAAGGTTTTTGATTATTATTACTAACGTCATTTTCTCTTTTGATATTGATATTAGTAGATAAGAAGTAATAAAATCAGCTTTAAATGATTAGAAGTAGTAGCTTGTTCTGGGGATGAGTTACTTAATGTCCCTCCCTGTTTTTTGCTGCTGTTCCTTGCTGTTGTAGACCGCTCGTATATGCCTTTTTCATCCGATGGTGTCAATATCGGTATTTACAGTGGGACAAAACCAAGCTGAAAAATGTACAATGCTTTTTGCAACGATTTTCTTAAAATACCTGATCTAAGGCAATACCTGATCAAAGGCCTGATCTTTGATACCTGATCAAAGGCAAAAATCTTAGATTTTTGTCACGTGCTTAAACATCATCACGAAGGAGGTGCATTTTTGACAATAGTATGTGCTTCTTGAAGTGTTTTTTAACAAAATAAATCATCATGCCACAGGACTTTTAAGAACGGATTCATGGAATGTGAAGAAGTGTTCCGGGTATTTTTTTTTTTTTTGATTTATTTAATTAATTATAGCGAAGCACTTGAGGATATTTTACTAAGAGGATATTTGCCTTCGTAGAGGGCTTTGTAAGAGAAATTGGCTTTTATATATGCTAAACATGGGAAAAACCACGAAAACACTCATGTGCCAGTCCGTTCGCCGGGATTCGAAACCCAGATCGAATTATCAGTGTTCAGCGATTTTGCCGCTCTGCTGCCTCCCAGAAATAATCCGTAGCTTACAAGCGGATAACATCACTGAACCGTGGCAGTTCGACCTGGGTTAAAATCCTGGCAAACGGGCTGACTGCATGAGTTTTTCGCAATTTTCGCTATGTGTAACATGAATACAAGATAATTACTTTCACAAATTTTTCCACGAATGTTTTTCGTTTCTTTGGCAGACAGCTGTGGTGTGTTTTGCTATAATGTAATAAATCTAGATCCTCACACATAATCCAGTTGATTAATCAGACGTAAATATGAAAGCATCCTTCCCGTCAAGCAGATAACCCTCTTATGCTTCGCCGTAATGTAGGTAATCTTCTAAACACAATCCGTTCGATTTCCTAGATATAATTCAGTTCAATACCTGTGTGTGTTGGAGAAAAGTTTGGAGCATCAAATCCAGTCTGAAAGTTTTGAAACTTTAGATACCTTTTCCACAGCTGTCTACCCAACATAAATAAATGGTCAGCCATGAAAATTTCAAAGGCCCAAGACACCTTTCCTTGTCGTTTCGGATAACAGCTGTTTTAGCATTCGGGAAATCAACAGTGTGTTTAAGGTTAGGCTAGGTTGTTTAATTACGGCAAAGCCTCGAGGGCTATCTGCCTAAAGGGAGGGATGCCTTCGTGGAGGACTTTCTAAGGGCACTGGCCCGTATACACGTTACACATTTGGAAAAAACACGAAAACACCCATGCAGGCAACCCGTTCGCGGGAAAGTGTGTTTAAGAAACAGTGTGTTTAGGTGGTTATTACATTTCGGCTATTCTACTTGTCTGTGAAAAAAAACTGAGTTTTCTGTATCGTTTCCTGAAGATACACATTACAAATGTTTACAAAATTCGTATTTAGCGAATGCAATAATCGTAGCGAATTTATAAGGTTGTGTTAGCATGAATTGAAGGTCACTAAATTGTCTTTCTTCTTGCATTTTGAGCTGTAATATCCGTGCACGAAATGAATAATAAAAAGCATGAAATCAAAGTCAATATACCGTGAACGAGATTTCAAAAGGCGAATTTTTCTGACGTGACTAGATTACGATTTTTGCCTAATCGTACAAAGACAAAAGTGACTCAAATCTGCTAGTATACCTGTCATGAACAACAAGACAATGCTGTGCGCCAAGGCAAAAATAACTAACCATGAAATTTGGTTGAGAAAAACAGTTTTTAAGTTTTGGAACGCCTTAAATTACTTGAATACGTATATATAATAGTAATTCTTTAAAACCAGGGATTTGTAAGTTTTATTTATACTCTGTATTATGAACTGATTCCTGATTTGAACTTCAGAAATCTTATTCTGTTTCAATAATCATAAACAGACTTAAGCTTAATTGTTTAAATTTCAGTTTCTTTTTCCTTCACGATGTCAAGATCTCTGATCGCTCGCTAAGCTGTTTTCATTCCCTAACGAGAGAACTACTGAAGGTTGAACAAGATTACTGAACACTAATTGTTCGACTTGGATTCGAAGGAAAATGAATAGAAGCTCTTTGAAAAAAATCGTTCATGAAGACTTGCCTCCGATAAAGCAAGCTCACCTGCGCCAAGGCAGTAAAGTCTCTGAACACTATTATTAGTATGATGCGGGTTCGGATCCCGGCGAAAGGCTTGGGCCGCATAGGAGTTTCCTTAATGTTCCTCATGTGTAACGCGGATATGAGCCAGTTCCTTTAAAAACTCCTCCACGAAGGCATACCTCCTCATAGGCAGACATCCTTCGGGGATATTTGCATTATTTAATTAACCAAACCGATCAAAAAATAGTCTTAGAATACTTTGCTTTAACTTAGCTCCAATAAAACAGGTGATATTTCATCAAATTTGTAATTTTTTGCAAAAGGTAAAATAATTTTCAACGGCATTAAAAAAAAAAAAAAAAAAAAAACTTGCAGTCGTAAAACTTTAAATTACATTCTTTTATTTCTAATAAATTTTCCATTTAACGTTTTAAAAATTCGAACTATTAATAAGCTATATTCGTATTTATATGATTTAACATAGTTCTGTAAAAAGAATTATAAAGTTTTAGAATTGTTTAATCTTCAGTTTTATATTTTAGGTATTAGTCATGTAATTTTTGTTTCGAATTAAATTATGAATGCTATAGAACATAGTCTTCGTTTAGGTGCAAGATTTCGATGGCCTGAAGTTCAATGAGTAACACAACTGAGAAAATGCATCAGTACACCGTGGTAATGCCGGAAATCGTACAAGAACCATGCGACTATCCAAAAGGCATGCACAGTCTGTTAATGCTGTTACAGCTGGTAAGTTGAATACTTAAATAAAATGTTTTTAGTTAGTTTTGATAATATCATCAAAGTGTACGAAATTATTTTTCACCGAATATTGAAAATTTTATTGAATTTACATTGCTAGATTTTAAAATTGCATAATTTGGCTCGCCAATAAATTCCCTTTCGAGTATTTTTCTAGAACAAGATTAGCGTTATTTGATTACAACACACTGTAAATGAACGTGCACACTGAAAGTACACTGCAGGTGCCAGATCTGGTGAATAATGGTATGAGTGAGAACTTTGCCAGCTTCTGCCAGTTCCTTTCCTAACTGCTTCACGGCAGCGTGTTGCAATGCAGCAAAAATCAGTTATTCATTTGAGCTTTTTCAAGCCTTTAACGCATTGAATTATCTTCAGAAGACTATTCATTACGTTTTTATAAAATATTATACTAGTTAATCATTTCTGCCCCTCTCAAAGAAGACTCTTTATAATTATCTCTTTCCAATAAAAGAAGTTCATTAATTTTTCCTCTACTGGAGATTTATGAAACGGAAACTTGTGTGACCGTGGTGCAACTTTTCCAGTCGAAGCAGATGTTTGCCATTTTGTTGCTGGATCATAAGGTTCATCTAAGTTTCATTCCCCTTCACAATTTGTTTAAAAAAAAAAAAGAGCCTACCAGCGGCCGAGAGGTAGAGTCGCTGAACACAAGTAGTTCCGATTCCAGGCCAAGGGCTGACTGCATGGGTGTTTTCGTGGTTTTCCCCATATGTAACGTGTATACGAGCCAGTTTCTCTTAGAAAGCCTTCCAGGAAGGCATTCCTTAGGTAGATAGCCCTAGTGTGCTTTGCCATAATCTACTAAACCGGAACAGTTTGAAAAAGCCAGGATTAATTAAATCTTTACTGCATGCTTTCGTCAGTTTCGAATCTATGAGAGGAAATGACAACGTATACGTTGAGACCACTCACTGTCTTCTGTTAAAAACTAAATAGGTAAAATAAGTTAAATTACGGCAGTACATTCGAGGCATCTACTTTAATAGGGATGCTTTTGTAAAGGTTTGCTGATATTTACTTGCCGCCCGAGGAAAAAAAAAGAAACTCCGGATCTTTTCAATTATAAAACAATCAGCGCCAATATTCCATAGAAAGATAAATGCCACGCTTCTTTGTTTATTGACTGAGTATTAAATAACACTTCTTGTCATCTTCTTTATAAAAGAGCTGTTGTTTTCAAAATAATTGCCAATAAAAATTTTCTAAAATTGCCATTCTATTTTTTCTTTGTTTAATAAGTTAATTAAATTAATTATGCTACATTTTGAAAACTTTTACCACAACTTAGATGAGCAAATGCCAAAACTAGGTTTTGCTTTCTTTGAAAGTACCAAGTTGGAGCATATATCTTCTTACAGAAACTTGTATGATGTATTCTGAAAAAAACATCCAAAAACTCCTGTAACTAACTTGTAATTCACCGAATAGAAAATTGGGACGAAATACCAGTATTAAATCGTTTATCCACTCGGCCTCTTAACATTCCCGCTGATAATAAAATAATATTAAAGGTCTGTTAAACATCGATCAGTATATCTATTTAATGTCACATAAATCTGTAATTCAATCTGTAATTCGAATGAAAAGTGGTACACTAATCTACTTATTTTCGTAGAAGAAATTATTACACAAATTCCTAATTTATTTAATCGCCATTATACTGTCATTTTAGAGGATTATTCTCTTGTTGTGATCACAATACCTTTCTGTACATTGCTTTAGACTTTTACATTTTGAATATGCGTAACATCCCAGGAATTTTTAGAATGTTTTTTAATAATCAGAAATAACTGAAAAGAAACAAATGTGTGCTGTTCGAAAAACAATCCTGGATAGTTTGAATTTTCTAATAGTCTGTTCAGACCTATAGTTCGATGGACACAAGCATAAATTTTCTGACATGTGTACATGAGATAATTCGTGCTTCGTGAATAGCTTTCCAATTATAATTTCGTAGAAATATCCGTTGGTTCAAGCTTATTCAATGCAGTATGATTCACGCGAGCATTTAATATCGTAATCATTTTATTGTTCACTTTTTTATTTCAACTGCAACACAGGGTAAAAAATATGTCCTGACTTATTACTACTATAAAACAAACAAGATGACACGTTTCTCTGAAAAGGTTTCGTAATTCAAAGTAGTTGATCTCAAACTCTCGCAGGTAGAGTTTACTCGTAAAATTTGACCTTAAATTGAGCTGTGAATAGTCACGCAATTTTCCATGTTTGGAAATGCACAAAATCATAGCTTCAAAATATGCTTTCGCACAAATTTCAATAATGTTAAATGGTTTTATGTGTATTGTTAGCTTGAAGAAAATAAAATTTATTGTTGTTAATGCACCAGACTCTTCCGACTGATTCAATCATATTTTAAATCGTAGAAAACAGTGAATTTACATGAGAAGGCAATGTTCTTTTGAACACTATTTGAATTTGTTCAATTAAAGCACAGAAAGCTATCCGCCTAAAGAGAAGGATGACTTAGCGAAGAATTTTTAGAGACAAGTCTCTATCATTAAACTCGAGAAAAAAATACGGAAGCACCTATGTAGCAGTCTTTCGCCAGGATCGGAATCTCGATTGAACTGCTAGTACTTAGCGATCTTATACAGATGGGCTCTGAAAGGGCAATGAATTGTATATAATTTCTGATACAGCGGTAAGGTCTTTGTTCATCGTCTGTATCAAATTACATAGCAAATTGAATCAGAAATTGTGATTTATAAATCTGAAATAATTGCAGATAAAAAAAAGACCAAGATAACAATAATGTACGCACGGAGAGAAAATTTATGAAACTTTAGTTTTCTTTTCTAGAACAGCATAAAAAGGACTTGTTGGGTAGTATTGGGCTTTAGAAGAATTTGTATATATATATGCACACACTCATATATATATATATTAGCTTTCATTGCAAAAACTACTTCAGAGTAAAGTGGTCGTCAGCATCTGAGTAAATGAAAATGCTGGTAATTTTATTGTTTAAGAAAAGGTTTGATGTGCATTTTTATTTATTTATTTATTTTGGGGGGAGGGGGTTGTTATTGTTTTCGTCTTGTTTGTGAATGATATATAGTTTTTATATTATAGGAAGTTTTATGTGATAAACATCCAATCTGAGGTAAATACAATAGATCACAGAAGTATTCGACCAATTTACGAGACTCTCAGCTTTAAACGATTTAAAATCTTAAAGGCAGTAGAAATAAGCATATTATATGAAATTCTGAAGTTGTGCTGTAATCTTTTATACAAATCTAAAAATCAGTTAAATCCAAGGGTAAAATATGGCTAAACAATAAAAAGAACTAAACTAGCCATTCAAAAGTACCTGGCCACCGTATAAAACACAAATTTCTGGATTTAATGCTATATTTCCATTAATGATTTAATGCTGCATGCTATCTTCAGTACGCAAACTCCAAATTTCATAATGCCCTGCCAGCAACCGAGGAATAAAACTGTTAAACGCTGAAATTTCGACCCGAGTTCTCCAAGTTCCAGTGAACTATCTGGATACACAGGAATTTCTATAACTTTCCTCGTGTATTTATAGTGTCAATGGAAATCAGCGATTCTCTTAAAAGGACCTCCAAGAAATAATCCCTTCCCTTAAGCAGATAGCCCTCGCATGATTTGCCATAGTCTAGATAATCTAATTCAATGCAAGCATCGGAATTCTCTAATTAAATTATTTTTAAGGTAAATTCAAGTTTAAATTTGACAGAGTTTCAAAATGCAGAAAGTGCAGAAGCTTAGTTTAGGTGAAGATGAAATCATTATCCATATGAAAAACAATTTCAAAGAGAAATTTCCAAATTGATTGTAATTCTGCATTCAACGGTATAAAGTATGTTAAAAATATCTGAATTAAAATTTCAAAGAATAAACCAAGCATTAGGAGAACAAAAATTCTGAATCATCGCGAAGAGAACCATGTTGTTAGACACGTCTGCTGAATAATCAAAGAAAATAATTTCTAAAGTTGCTGCACTTTTTTTTTGGTAAGAAATTCAAGTCTTGAAACAATGTATCGAACACAATGAAATAGTGGATACAGAGGGCGGCTGCTAGAAGGATTAGTGAGAACAATAGAAAAAAATTCAATTTTGCAAAACCATTTGTTAATATAAATCAGAACTTCTGGAACATTGTTATTTTCAGTGATAAATCATGGAATTATATAATGTAAGAGAAAGTCGAAATTGGAGTTTGATTTACACAAACGTTATGATACTGTCAAGCAGGGAGGATTTCAATAAATATTTGGATATGTATGTCAGGGGTTTGAGTGGATACATGGAAATTTATTGATGGCATTAAAGATCAGTATTTATACAGAGATATTTAAAAACAATTAAGAAAAATACTTTTAAAAATTAAGGTTACCGGAGATTTTGTTTTCCAACAGAGCAATGATGCAAAGCATAGGGCTGTGTGAAGATGAGTTTATGGCTCTTACACATTCAGGTGCCCCTAAAATAGTTATACAAATATCGTGACGTTGCGTTCTCACATTTGCGCATGCAAGAACGATGCTTCAGGATATGCAGAGTCGGAATTATAGCTTTCTCTAAGCAGTTATTAAGTTACATGGTGAGTAAAACGCGAATGCAAACCAACAATAGGTGTTCAACGCATGAGTCATTCAGTTTCAGAAACAGTTCGAAAATTGAGGATTTCTCATTCCACAGCATCAACAGAATAACGACAGCACACGGATAGACGAAAAAGGAAGAATAATCCTGCAAATTGCACGACACATGCGGTCTTGAATGATCGTGATCTTCCAAGGATAGTACATAGCCAGCGACGTGAAACTTAGCTGAATGGAGGACCAGTCGAGACAGTCAAGGGACGGGTTATGTGCAATTCGAGTCACCGTATGAGCTTCAGAAGCCGAAGACCCACAAAAGTACCACGTCTCATTGCAGTTCTAACTGCATTACGCTTGAAAC